CAGCAGCAGCAGCAGCAGCAGCAGCAGCAGCAGCAGCAGCACAGCAGTAGCAGCAGCAGCAGCAGCAGGCAGTAGATGACGGCTACGTTGATGGATGGCGGGCCGGCGGGACCTCGCTCACCGCTACGTTCGTCTGCTTACAGCCGGATCGTCTGCTTCCTACCGCGCGTTCTTAATTTCCATCGTATGCTCTACATGCTGCACCGCGGTGTCCATTCCATCGTATAGAAGATTGTATGGAAGAGCTCTTCAGCTACTAAGCTTATATATCTTATGCTGCACCGGTATGCAGTGGTGCGGATGGAGGCGCCACACTGCGGTGGCTGGGGATGAGTAGGGATAGCAGGGGAGGTGGCGGAGAAGGGGTGGTAGCGAAGGATGGGGGGTAGTGGGAAGGAAAGGGCCCTACCCCACCCCTACACCATCCCTCCCCCACCCCTCCCCCGTACGGCATACCTGCCGCGTGAGATCGCACCGTACCGGTACGTGATGTTCGCGCATTGGTGAGGGTGGGAGGACGGAAAGGTACCGGAAAGTAAGGGGGCGTTTGCATCGATCTGGGAATAGCTTCTTCCCCACTCCCTACCTTACTCCCCACCCCACTCCCTTGCCCCACCTCCACCCAATCCCTCCCCACCCCACCCCAACCCCACAACCTACACCACCCCACCGCCTATCCNAACATCAACATCAACATCAACATCAACATCAACATCAACATCAACATCAACATCAGCATCAACATCAACATCAACATCAACATCAGCATCAACGTCAACGTCAACATCAACGTCAACGTCAACGTCAACGTCAACGTCAACATCAACGTCAACATCAACATCAACATCAACATCAACATCAACATCAACATCAACATCAACGTCAACGTCAACGTCAACGTCAACGTCAACGTCAACGTCAACATCAACATCAACATCAACATCAACATCAGCATCACTCCACTTTCCAAGCTACTCATTTGGGGAACACGAATCTACCGAGGAGAGGAAAATGATCGGCGAGGTCCGTCAGGGGCACGTTTCTGTTCCGACAACGATCGTCGTCCGGCCACATGTACCCCAGCCGGAAGATCTTCCCCCTGTCGTAGCACACCGGAAACGGCTCGTCCGCCAGAGGGCGCACGGACTCCATTGTCGCGTGCAGGGGGCGCTGGTGGTCGCGGCTGTACGTCGTGTAGTCCACCCAGTCGCATTTCGGCTCCGGGTAGAAGTCGTTCTCCGACGACACCGTGCACGCGCGCGGGCCGACGACGGCCGGAAGCTGTGCCGACATCGCCGACAGGACGTCGGCAAGCAGCGTCGGCTCCGTGTAGAGATCGACGTTGTAGTCGCCGACGTAGACGACCGGTTCGTCCGAGGGGACACCGAGCCGACGCGCCATCTCCCGCAGCTCGCGTGCCTGCCCGACCTTCGTCTCCCAGACGACGCCCGTCTGCTGGTGCGTGCTGAAGACGTGGTACAGCTTGGTGGCGCCACTGGCGTCCGTCTTGTTGACGGCGGCGTAGGCGACGCCCTTCTTGGCGAACGCGTCCCACGACAAGGCGTCTGCGTTCTCGTAGACGTGCTGGGCCTCGCGCACGATCGGCCAGCGCGAGGCGATGAAGATCCCTCCGTTAGTGATCTGGAGACCGACCTTGCGGTCGACCTTGGAGGCCTTGGAATCGACCTTGGAGGCGTCGTGGTCGTGCGTTAATGAAGACGAAGAGAAGGAAGGCTTGTGGTCGACATTGGAGTCGACATTAGGCTCGACCTTGGAGGCGTCGGGGTCGGCGTCTGCGAGCGACGGCGGCGGCCATATTGCGCCGACGGTGCGGGTGGTGTATGGGAAGCCGTGTTGCGCCAGTAGATCGCGCAGCGAGAGACGGAACGGGAAGCAGCCGCCCATGAAGACTTCCTGTAATCGATCGTTGTTGGTTTTTGGTGATTTTTACATTTTTATTTGGATTTAATTTTCTTGCAATCCTTTCCATTATTCGCATTAAAATTTATTGATTATTAATTATTATTATTATTATTAGGCTAGTAGTAGCAGTAGTAGTAGTAGTATTAGTACTAGTAATTATTTTTCTTAATGAATATTATGATGTATAACTAATTTCATTCGTAATTAATAAAGTACTGATTTCAAATCGAACGCGGTTCTGAACTTTCGTGCGCGCACTTCTCAGAAAAAACGAAAATACTTCACAAAAATGCCAGTAGATGGCGCTACCTGGAAACCGATGACGTCGACGTCTGGGAAGGCGCGTCGCAGCACGGCGGGGATGCGGCACGACCTCTCGCGCTGTCCGTCGTGCGAGATGAACCAGAATCGCTCCTGTATATTGTAGGTGAGCACGTTGAGCGTGTGTGCCGGAGTGTCTACCTGGGCGGTGGTCGGTGCGAGGCTGCTACATAGCACCTTGTCGCCGCTGCTGCACGGCTCGTCGCCGTCGTCGCCGCCGTCAGGGGCGCTGCGCTCGTACGTCAGGCCGAACAGCTCGCAGTGTTCGGGCTTCGTGGTGCACGCTGGGAAATCTCCTGCACGAATGCGTGTGAATTAGTGAGGAGAGTCCGGGGAGAGGAAGGAGAGAGGAAGGTGAGAGGTGAAGGTGAGAGAGGAAGCGGGGCAGTAGAGGGGAGGGGGAAGGGAAAGAGGAAGGGAAGGGTGAGGCGTGGGGAGGGATCCGGAGGAAATAATGCGTTGAGAGCGGGAAGGAGAGAATCAATCTTTGGGATTATGTACTGCTGATCATATGTTATAATCATTATATCAATTCCCATCTTTTTAATATTTTATATTTATATCTTGACATAAGTTTTTTTTCCGCGCTTAAATTTAGCGCGTATATGTGAATATGAAACTATGTGTGTGTGCGTGCGTGCGTGCGTGCGTGCGTGCGCGTGTGCGTGTGCGTGTGCGTGTGCGTCTTTCATGACATCATTTTATGCTGACGAAACTATAACGATAACTATAACTATAACTATAGCTATAACTATATAAGTATCTAAGCCAATAAAACAAAATACAGTTTAGCAAATCGTAAATAGGAGCATATGCAGATAGCAAACAATAGTAATATAAAGAAATTGAATTGGGTAGTCGCAACAAATTCATTCTAATCATTTCCTTTCGCAGATAGTAGGCACACGAACAAATACATCTGACCCTATAACCTATCGCCCGTTTTCAGTAGGTTGGGAAGAGTTACATCCTTTTAAATAATAAATCCAGATATTGGGACCCCGATATATACACAGTTTTTGCATAATACACCAAGTCTCATGTGCGACACTAGCGCCGACCAACGGCAAAGAAAACGAAAATAAATTCGCTCACATTTATAAGAAATTTCGAAGAATTGGCGCCTTACAATGAATAATGCAAGACCGCACTATAATTACAACACTTTAATCTGTTGTTTCTGTTGTTTCGCTTAGCAAAATTGCTATTTTGGGACAAGTCATACGTTATTAGTTATTAGATTATGTAATAATGTAATATTACTTTTGATTATTAATAGTTTTGTAGTACAGCATTGAAACCCGCGCGGCGGCAGTTACCAAAAATTAAAAAACACTTCATCGAATATCAGCAGCAAATAAACTTTATTTAAAATTATAAAACACAAACCAATTAACATTTATTGGAAATTTGATAATTACGAATTAATTACTAATGATAATCATGGGTGCTTTCAACCTTCACCGTTAACAACTTTAACAACTTCAGCAAAAGAACAGGTTCTATCAAAATTATTATCAATATCAATGTCAATATCAACATCAACATCAACGTCAACATCAACATCAA